ACCAGGCCGCTAATTGTTATTAAATGTTATGTTGAATGATCATTATGATGAATTACTATTGTGGCCAATTATGAATGATAAACCTACTGATTAGAATGATTATTGATGATTAAATTATGATTAAAAATGAATATAATGGTGATCATGAAGACGGTGTATACTATTAAGGATATCTAGAAGAACTCTAAGATATACCCACTTGTATATTGATGATGATTATTAAGGATATCTAGAAGAACTCTAAGATATACCTCCTTGACCAATTCATATTTCGGGTTAAAACGTACGTACGGGATCCAGAACGGATATCACCCACCCGACAAATCACTATTTGGTTGGTACGTAATCCACACGACTCATAGGGTGGATTATCGATTCTTGTGTTCTGCATTAAACTATTTATAGTTTAAGGGCTTGGTTAGAATTACTCCCTTAGACTAGGAATAGCTAAGAGCTGAATATAAAATAATGTGGCCTTAGATTAAGAATAATTTAAGAGCGTTATTGTATATTGAGTATCAAATGACTTGGAATAAAATATTGAGAATATTATGAATGTTTGATTCATATATTGTGTGCATGATATCAAATGGTTAATTATGAATTGAGATTCAATTTATGTTGATGTTCGACGCTTTAGATATGCTTACTCAGCTTTACTGCTGAGCGTGTAGTGTGTTTTATTTCCTACACGCAGGTAAACAGAAAGAACAATGTGATCCTGGCGGCAGATGGGGCGAGATTGTCGGGACTGATGTGACAAGTTTTGAAATAATTTATGGTATGTCAATATTAAATTCGCTTCCGCAATATTGTTGAATACTCCGTATTGTATATGTTATGAAAAATATTATTGGGATTAATAAAGTGTGTTTGAGATGTTTTAAATTTTACGATTACCAAATTAATACTTTAGTCCGAAAGGGGCTGCAGACCTGGACGGATTAGGGTGTTACATTTTGGTATCGGAGCAAGTGGTTTTAAAACCGATCTTCGGATCAAAACTTGGATTTATATATATATATATATATATATATATATATATATATATATATATATATATATATATATATATATATATATATATATATATCGGCTCTATTAAAAAAAAAATATCACATCCACGACTCTCGTATCCCTCTGCTCCAGGAAAAAGGTATGAGAATTTACTTGATAAATAATGACTCTGTTAGAATTCTCATATTAATTAATTAGTACTGAAACCGTATTGAGCGTACACTCTAGTTGAACTTTCGTACTCAGTGAAGAGACGAAATAATAAAAGAAATATGTATAACCTCCTGATACGTTATCAACGTACGCATCACATTGCAAATGACAAAATTGATCGGCCTCGTAAAATCTCTTAGAAGTGAGACGACTATGAAGAAACAATTAATGTTGAATAACATATGTGAAGCTGCTGTCAAAGATCCTCATGTGGACTGAAGACGATCGGATCGTTGATTCAAGCACGAACGTTTAGAATCAATAAAAGCTTTTGTCTAAAAGTGTCCCATTCTGATGTCCAACTCATTACGACGCAAATATGCGATTATATCATGCGAATCGAAATCATTGATTAAGCAACAATTCCTTGCAAAACCTCGTTAAAATACCATAGAAGGAAATTGACGTTATCCTTAGTATGCATTAGCTGACTGAACATCGTAGTTGTTGACAACATGTAATGAAGAATTATCCAACTAAAGACCAATGATGGTAACCTTATAGAGGTGAAAGCAAAGCTGATTTCTAAACCGACCAAGTTCATCTCGAATATATATGCGAAAACATATCAAGTGTGAAGTCTATTCGTGCAATACCCAAAAAGAAATATCTGAACTGAAGGAACCTAGTGAAAGTATGTCACTTCTCTGATATGAAATGTCTAATATTTCACTATTCCGAGAAATTGAATTCTCTGTCAATCTTGATCCTAGAAAGGACCAATATTCGTAACCCTGTATTGAATGTGTTTCTGTCGAAACTGAACATTCAACTATAAAGATTGCCTGACAAAGAATCATCTGACCAAGTGTTTCCTCCTTGGGAAAATACTTGTTTTGTCCATACGCGAATAAAGAAGAATCGATGAGACTCTGTATCAAGTACTGTCAATGAACGATTCGTTATCCTTTACCTCGTATCAATGACTTATTTGATCAGCTTAGAGGATTCATTGTATTCTCTATGATTGACTTACGGTCAAGATACTATCACATCCCTGTTAAGAATGATGGACAAACTGATAATCAAAGAATCGCTACCCTTCACTACGTATAGACGATTTGTTCGAATCACCTACTTGTTAGAAGCTATAGACCACTCAACCTTGTTGAATGAACTTATGCTTTGTTATGAAATGATGAATGACCTAATTGCTTATCATCGAAAGCGTCGATGTAGTCTGATTGAAATAATGAAGTAAAGTGATTGACTTGTTCGTATACCATATTAACGGGAGAAATTGCGATGTGGTGACAATACAAAACAAGATGTGAAACAGTGACACCAACAGTGAAAGACTGAAGAATGAAGAAAATGTAGCTTGCATATGGCTAACCATTGATGTTTATGGATAATATTATTTCAACACAAAATACAACTTGGATTACATGAGGAAAGTTACAGATGCAATTCTAAGTCTAATCTCTCAGGATTTACAAACTCGTCGTAACTGGCCCCAGGACCCGGGAAATCTTTAGCAAACTCTAGCTTGTCTAAAAGCTCACCAACAAAGAAAGAAGAAATGAAAAGTTTCCTCTGACTGGAAGCCATGAAGTTCTGCCTCACCGCATCGTCTAGAAATTTGATTAGGTTATTAAAATAACCGTCAATATTCAAGAGGTCAATGGG